GATGTTCTGAAGGCATATACGTGTAGAAGGGAGGGGTTGAGGGGGGGTCGTGGTGTACTTTGGGGGCTCCGTGGGGTCATGAGGGGGTGGGGGGTGGGGGCTCCGTGGGTCACTTTGGTCAAAAATGTCGCATTTCACCCAATCACCAAAAACTCATCGGATTTCGACGGAGCTCGACGCCGCGGTCACGCCCAAAGTTGTTTCACTTCGCAAATCGTTTTTTTGTCGAAAGATATCGCGAAAAACAAGATTGTGAATATTTGCCCGAACGGACCATAGACCAGGGAAGTGAACCAATCGGTGAACCGTTGGACGACCCCTCCGCTTCAACCGAGCCTCGGGACTGTGCTTCGGGCATCATCGATCGTTGACACGAAGGAGTCGGAATAACCGTGAATCCGTGGTTTGTGCAAGCGTTCCGGAAATTTCGTGAAAGAGCGGCGAGAGGCAAAAAAGGGTACACGGGGGTATAGCTATATAGTCTACAGGGTACAAAGAAGCGTGAGAGAGTGGCAGAAGCTTTTGGGATCCTTGGGAAGCCGAGGACCTCGAAGGGAAAAGCGTTGCATCGCCCGCGAAGGCAGTGCAGCAAAGCAGCAGCGAGAGAATAGAGTTTTCGTTTGGGACTTGATCGAACCTGATCGAGCTTGTCCTAGACACGCCGGAGTGATGAACAACGGCAACAACCTGCAGCAGCAGGGTCAGGGTCCCCCCAGCAGCCGCAGCCAGCGCAGCCAGCGCAACCTCCACAGCCTCCACCGCCGCCTCCCGGTGGACCACCGCCCGCAGCTAACTAACAACAGAACAGCGGTGGCGGAGCAGGAGCAGGAGCGGCAGCTCCCCATGGTGGCGGACAGGCAACAATAGCAGCGGGAAACCAGCCAGCAGGGGCGACCGGAAACCAACAGGCGGCGGGACACAATAACGCGCCTCCGGCAGCAGGGGGAGGAGACCAGAACGCGGGCGGAGCCGCGCCAGCCGGGCTGGGAGGCCCACCTCCCCCCATCAACCCTGTCCAGCTACTGCTGCAGATGTCTGTACTGCGTAAAGAGCAAAACGACCGACTCGGCAACCTGGAGCTCAGGATGCAGCAGCAGCAGCAGCACCAGCACCAGCAACACCCGCAGGACCAGCACCAGCAACAGCAACAGCAACAGCAGCCTGGCCACCTCCCCCCTGGCGGTCTCCAGCAGCAAGGTCAGCCCCAGCCCATCAAACTCCCTCTAGGTGGCCAGCTCGTGCTACAGCCCCAGCAAGCGCAAGCTCTGGGCCAAAACATTGACGTGTCGAACCAGGCCCTCAACATTCATGTACAGAAAGAAGGTTTCGCCGCGATACGAAGGCATGGGGAGACGAGTCCGCGGCGACGCTGCTTCTGCTGCGCGGCGGGAGGTTCGTTTGCACCACGCTGTCAAAGAACGCAATTGCCCAGCTGCTGCGCAAAGTGGCCTATCCCGACGCCGAAATGATCGATTAGCTGATAACCCTCGCCAACGTCGACATCGCCAAGTTCTCCCCACCCCTCCCTACGGGGTGGACCCCGCCGCCACGCGACTTCATCGTTCACCTCGAGGCGCTCGTGAAAACATTCTTCGCCGTGTTGGACCATGGCACACACGCCGCAAGTGAACCATCGACCGGTCGCAGGCTACAGTTGAACGCCGAAGTCAGCCGCATTGTGTCCAACGCCCGGGACTAACTCAGCCTTCATTCGGCAGAGATCACGGGTCAAGAAGCAGCGATGAAGACGCGCCTGATCGCCGACACCAACACCGACATCAACGAGTATCTCGGGAACATCTCAGACCTAAGCGTCGCCACCCGCGCCGACCACGGCATCTCCCCGCCGGCAGATGCCGATGGGCATCCCGTCCCCCCCCCCGCGTTTTCGCGGCTGCGCGGTCTCACCGCGGAAGGCAGCGCCAACGCCATCGTCGGAATGCTTAACAACGCCCTGGCCGGGCTCCCGCAGCCATAGAAGGGGAAAGCGTCAGCGAGCAGCGCCACGAGCGGACATACAGCATCCCGCCGGCGGATAACCGCCGCACCCGTCGCCAACCAACACGCGGTGGCGACACTGTCCTCGTTCCAGCAGGACCTCCTCACGTGGGGAACCCCCCACCGCGCGTGTCACTCCCACTGGAAAGGGCAAAAGTGCAACCGCCCGCACTGCACCCTCAACCACGTACAGGTTCACCCCAGCGTCGCCCCCCCCGGTCCGCCGCCCGGTCCGCCGCCCACAGCGCCAGCCCGGGCCCCCGCCCCCGCGACCGCCCTTGCTCCTGCCCCCGCCCCCGCCCCGCCCCCGCCGCATCACGCCCCGTGGTCGCCCGTTACAGCAACAACTACAGGCCACACGGAGCAGCAGGAACCAACTCCTGACATCACGGGCCCCATCCAGAGGTGGGGCCAACGCGGCTGAGGGGGGCAGGTGACACCACGGTAGCAGCTTTTGTGGACAGGAGCAGGACCGTGGCGCTAACTGAAGCGCCTCTTCCCGGGTTTGTGGCACCGAACGTGTTCCACGGTGACCGCCCGAGTAAATCAAGTACCAATAATGAGGAACATGAAATTACTGCAGAGCCAGAGTTGATAGACCAACCTCACCAAGGAGTAGAACAACCGTGTACTCTTAGAAGTACCAGCCAAAGTAATTCACGCACCAATAGTGATGAACATGAAATTACTGCAGAATCTGCGCTAATGGATCCCTCTGACCAAGGAGGACAACCGTGTGCTAGATTTGAACAAGTGAGAGATAAAGGCCCCCGTATCACGGGAGAAGAGAGAATAGACCCGGCGTGAACGCTGGACAAGACCCCTGAAACAAGGGAGAAGCAGACCCCTCGCACCAGGGAGAAGATCGTAAGAGTGCTAGACCACATACGTGTACTGGAGACAAAGACAGAGAAGGACCTAGTGGGAACACTAGAGAAGACCCCTGTAACAAGGGAGAAACGGACCCCTCGCACCAGGGAGAAGAACGCAAGAGTGCCAGACCACATACGTGTATTGGAGACAAAGATAGAGAAAGACCCAGTGCGAAAACTGGAGAAGACCTCCGTAACAAGGAAGAAGCAGACCCCTCGCACGAGGGAGAAGATCGCAAGGGTGCTCGACACAAAACGTGTATTGGAGACAAAGATAGAGAAAGACCCAGTGCGAAAACTGGAGAAGACCTCCGTAACAAGGAAGAAGCAGACCCCTCGCACGAGGGAGAAGATCGCAAGGGTGCTCGACACAAAACGTGTATTGGAGACAAAGACCCCTACGGGAAGAGGGACACGAATAGTGACGGGTCGGCAGCCTTGCTACCTCCTTATGGGAAGCTACTGGCTGAAATGTGGAAAGAACAAAAGGAATGCCTCGCACGTGGCACACGACGTGACGAAAAACAGGATATCATTCACGAACTTGCCACGACTGGTAGCATGCTTCTGAAAACGAACGACGGAAAGTTGGGAGATGTCGCGAGGGCAATCGGCGGCACCTTGGTGTCACCGCCGCTAAACCTGAGCGACCTCGAACAACACTTCTGAACCAAAAACGTTTCCCAGACTTCACGAATCTCATAGACATTGTAGACAACGGTGTGCCAGCGAAAACGCACGACAGCCCGCCGAACCTCGAGAGCGCTCTGCGATACGGGAATCACAGTACGATAGACCCTCACACGGAACTGGTGTGGAAGAAGCTGATAGACGACGTCGAACAGAACAGATGCCTTTTCAACGTAGCGGACGCAACTTGCATGAAGGGCGTTCGCGTATCGCCGCTAGGAGCAGTGGTAGGACAAAAAAAACAGAATCATCAATGATTTTTCTTTTGACCCCAAGCTGCTGCGCGGACAGAAGGTAGGAATCAACGTCGATACGGTAACGGAAGAAGTACCCGACTGTTTGTGCGTAGAGACTCCACCGGCTTTACTTTCTGAAATATCGCGCTTGAGAGTCAAATGGCCTGACAAGAGGATACTAGTGTCCACGGCGGACGTGAACAACGCTTACCGAAACGTGAGAGTTGCGCCAGACGATGCACGAAAATTCTGCTATGTGATAGGAGACGTGCTAGTCGCCGACTTCAGACTAACGCTTGGATGGGCAGGTTCGCCCGGTTTTGGGGGAGTCATGGCGTGGGCTGCTGAACACTCACACCGCAACACCAACGTACACAACGTATAACTAGTAGACGAAGGGATCGAAATGATGTCACTTGTGATAATAGTCGAGCCGTGGTTAGACGGACAACCCGCCCGAGTGCCCCGAGATGCCAACGTGAAACCGCATGACGGAGGCGGACCACACGATGATTTCTCGTGTGGGGTGCACGTAGACGACTTCGCTTTACTGAACGTACAACATGCGCCAGACGACGCATCAGCGCTGGTAGCCTCCGCGTCATTAACGTCTGACTGTGTGAGACTCTTCGGGCCAGCAGAGCCGGGCTAAACGCCCATTCTCGCCCCGAAGAAAAGCACAGACTGGAACACGAAAGTGGACTTTCTCGGACACACGATAGACACCCATAAAATAATGACGATCGCGACAACACGTGAGAGGATCGACGCGAGAAGGACCGCGCTAGAGAGCGATTGGCCACAGACCAGAGAACTCGCCATGTGCAAGATGTCCTGAGTATGGCGGGAAAACTCTGGAACCTGACGTGCGTCATGAGGGCGGGGAAATATTTCGTATGGCACCTCTTACGCCCCACCGGCCTACACGACAAGACTAACAGACAGTCGAGAGAAAAGCGGCAGGTACGTCTTGGTTGGGAGTTCCACGGAGACCTAGATTTCTGGAGATGGGCGCTGGAAGATAAACTCGCGGAGAAAGGAGAGTCACTTAGCGCGTTTTTCATTAACCACGTCCAACGCACGCCTGTCCGTCACTACCTATCGGATGCTAGCTTCGACGCGGTTGGCGGACACTGTCCCGAACTAACAGTGTTCTGGCGGTATCGATTTAAACACGCGTTTACCGCGGAGCTGAAAAGGAAAGCAGAAGCCAAAGAAACCAGCGCGATCACGATCAACACGCTATAATCGCTCGGAATGATAATTACATGCTGGGTAGTCCAAATGGTCGTGGGAGAAAAGCCGACGCAACCCGGACAAGCTACCATGATGAGGGGAGACAACGTGTCGGCGGTGTCATGGGTAAACAGATGCGGGGGCTCGAGAGATAGGCGAGCGGGACTACTCATGAGACTGCTTGGTCGTATGGAGATTGAAAACGGATGGTGTCACGTGGCGGAACACATCCCGGGACGCGAGGATACCCTCGCGGACGGGATATCTAGATGGAAGTCAGAGGACGTAGAAGTCAACGTGGAAAGACTCACGCATGACGATAACTGGCGAATGCAAGACATCGGAGACAACGGACGAGAACTAGTTGAAATGATACTGCAGGAGAAACTCCCGAACCAAAGAATGGATGGCCTNGGATGGTGTCACGTGGCGGAACACATCCCGGGACGCGAGGATACCCTCGCGGACGGGATATCTAGATGGAAGTCAGAGGACGTAGAAGTCAACGTGGAAAGACTCACGCATGACGATAACTGGCGAATGCAAGACATCGGAGACAACGGACGAGAACTAGTTGAAATGATACTGCAGGAGAAACTCCCGAACCAAAGAATGGATGGCCTCGTATGGAGCCGCATGGCAAGCGTGTAAAGAGAATAAGTGATGAGAGAATGATCAGCAAAAGAACTAAAAAAGGTGTGATGACTCTAACGTGTTCAAGCGCAGGAAGCGAACACGGGAAGAAGGGAACGAGTGATGAAGGCGAAAGGCTCCTCAGGATAATGGAGCACGGCTCCCTCAACGCGAGCAGGCTGAAGGGATACCACAGCATGTGGGACACACGGACAGCTGAAAGAGCTAAAGCGAATCTGAAACCATGGTTGTACGAAGAAGACGGTGTAGATAGCGCAGTGAGAGAGCTGACTGTGTTCATGGCGTCGAGGTAGTGTACAAGAACCAGAGCCAAACGGTGAAGGGGTACCTCGTGGCTATCAAGTACTTCCATAAACTGTACGCAGGCTGGGAGCTGCCCACGTCTCACTTCAGAATGGTAGCTGTTGGGAACGCAATAGACAGACTGCATGCGAGGGCAGAGACGAAACCGTTGGTAAGGCAACCGCTCACCTTGCCGATGATTATTGCTGGGAGAGAAATAGTGCAGACGAATGCTTTCGGACTTATGACGTGGATGGGGATCGCTCTCTCATATTTCTTGCTGTGCCGAGCGTCTGAGCTGTGGGCCTACCAGAACGGCTTAGTACACGCCGATTTTTGTCTCACGAGAGGGAACCTCGTATTCTTCGAATGAGCGTGTCAGCTAGCGTGGAACGAAAGAACGCGGGCAGACAGAGTAGAAGTGACCTTTCGCGCGTCGAAAGGGGACCAATAGAGGCGAGGCGCGGGAGTGACGACAGAGAGAGTAGTGCGGGACGAGGAAGGGGAACAGATAGCTGAGAAGGTGGGGGCGCTAGAGATTTTGCTGGATCTGCTTGACGTGAACCCAGAGTTAGGAAGTAGCGCGCCGCTCATGCAGTCGGTCAAGCAGGGACGGCGGGCAGTAGTGTCGAGGTCGGAAGCAACGACAGTGCTGAGAGACATGGCGAGAAGAAGAGTAGGAGAAGACCCAACGCACTTCGCGCTGCATTCAGGGAGGATAGGTGGTGCGACGCAACTAGCAAAGCAGGACGCATCGGTTGTTCAGACTCAGAGGGCGGGGAGGTGGAAGTCAGGAGCCTTTATGACGTACGTGAGGGCAGGAGGCGAATGCGCTAATTATGTATCGCGTGCACTAGCGTCTAGCTGAAGGGGAGAAGTAGCGTGGACAAGAGCGCCGAGTATCGGGCCGCGCAATGAGATATGACCTGGGCATAGACGTCGGGTTGGCCCGATAAGTGATACCTATTAGTGAGTCCGAGAGGAAGTCAACGGTTCGGCTCATAAGTTGGATTTTGGTTTTGATATGTTTTGGTTTCGGTGTTTCTGATGTCTTGTCGCTTTTGCTATTAGTCCAAATTTCTTGAGCAAACACAAAACGAAGGATTCGGTATAACCGTGAATCCGTGGTTTGTGGAAGCGTTCCGGAAATTTCGTGAAAGAGCGGCGAGAGGCAAGAAAAGGGTACACGGGGATATTGCTATATACAGGGTACAAAGAAGAGAGAGAGAGTGGCAGAAGCTTTTGGGATCCTTGGGAAGCCGAGGGCCTCGAAGGGAAAAGCGTTGCATCGCCCGCGAAGGCAGTGCAGCAAAGCAGCAGCGAGAGAATAGAGTTTTCGTTTGGGACTTGATCGAATTTTAGGTATTGCAGCGCGCCATTCTTCCTATATTTATCTGTTTTGAACCGAGCGTCGGGACTGTCAGAAAACCTCGGGACCCGGGACTGTCAGAAACCTCGGATTGGATCGTGCACCATCACCACATTGCGACCGCTTTTTCCCAGCATGCCAGCATGGTGTTCGGATTCGGGAAGGACTCGGGCACGGGCGCCAAGCAGAAGAATAAGCAACGAGTGGAGGAAGACGCTAAGAGGGAGGAAGGGCAGAAGTGCTATTCTGAAAGCAAGGACCGGGCACCGATGAGGGACGTGCCTCCCTCGCTGTACGATCGGAGCCCATTCCGCCAGTCGGTCGTGGGTTTTCGGCCGTTGTCGCCGTAATGGATAAGGGGGTACCGGTGAGAGGGTGGTTAGACACTGCTGCTGTCGAAGGCATGTTTGCATTCTCACTCAGACAGGAAACACAACACCATGCATGGTGTAGTTTGTAGACCAACCGGTACATGTAGAATTCTACAGTAGAATGCTACGAAGTCCAAGTTGGACTTCGTAGCATTAGTCCAAACTACTGTCTTACACTCCCAACAGAACTACGTACAATATGAACGGAGAAGAAAGGGCTTTTCCAACACGGAAATATCGCATGGACCAAAGCATTTGTTGGATTTCAGCTTTTACAAGACGACATCAACGCAGTAGTATTTTAGCAAGCTTAGAACGCATGTAGGATACCATGAGGATTGTCATTGGTTTTGTTTCAATTGAAGAGGAGATATTTTTACGATGTGACAGTAGAAGTAAGTCGTTGTACTTCGTATTGGTTAAATATTCATGTAGAGTATGAGACATAAGTGAAAGTTTTCTGAGGTACATCTGCAATTGTCGGAAGGCAAAAAATATATACTTATTTATCAAGAGGGGACATGAGGGTAGTCACGCAATGCTGCAGCAGGGCTAGATGCTCTCCCCTGCTCTCTGCACACCCACTACAGAAATATGCGTGTCCGTCGTCGTCGTCGTCGTCGTCGTCGTCGTCGTCGAGATATACAGCGATATTCTATGTGATAGGGTCATGGGAGTGTAAGTAGCCACTTAACTTTTAGTAGTTTTTTTTCCGCGAGACCAGCAATGTAGTCTTGCTACAGAAGCCACGGATTGAGCATGTAAGCATACGTACAGAACAACAGTAGACCGTGTCCACTACGGGTGTAGGAGTGACGATATCCGTTCTATGAACACCTGCTTTTGGAACAGCGCCCCACGATGTCATCATAACGAGCAAGTGCTCTTGATGTTCGTGGGGATCGTGCATGGGCGGCTCTCTATCTGAAAAAGCACCTTGTTGTCCGTATACAAATATGTGTAACAACGGCCGGGAGCGCACTCTATTCACATACATACACAGCAAGCATGCCACTCCCGTTGAGATGAATTTTCTCTAGGGTTCTGGAGCTCTGACAGAGCAGTATACGCGATTCACGTCAAATTTTGGCGCTCCCATTCTCCCAATGCCTTTTTCTTCTGGAAGGGTTGTTAGTGAATGGGGACCGATTCGTGGCTCGCCAGATATCATGGGCGACTGATGACAATACTTGTGTGTTGTCTTCAAAGAGAGGCAATGGATTTTCAATCCACGAGAATCATGAGGATATTCTCTGAAGGTTGCGTCCAATTCCTTCCAAGGCTAAGGTAAGGTTCATGCGAGGCGCATGGGAGCCTACCAGGAGAAAAAATGGTAGACTACAGTAAGTAGCGATATTCTCACGTAAGACGTCTCATGAGACAATGGTAACTTCACCCACGGGCATCGGACAAGACTCCATATGACATTTCCTTTGATACTGTTGTGTGCGAAGGTGTACCGATTCAGGTAAAAGTCAATCGACAGATACCCTGCGAATCGGGTCCTCCTTTACATGTGTTCATTCAAGGAGTTGGGATCTACTTTCAGCCCACGAGAATATTTTATGAGAACTTCAAGAGATGATCGTGTCGGCGTGCTTCGAGCCAAGCCCTCTGGTCGCTTCGTACGCATGAGTGCAAAGAGCCTGCGATTGATGTTGATCTAGCGAGCGCCCTGCCTGTCCCCCTGTTGCACGGGACACTCCGAAAGGAGTGCGGCAGCAAGGATGGCGCCCCCGCGGACGGTATCTATCGTTGGACGGAAAGAAACGCATTTTATCATTTGCTTCCTCGAAGCAAAGCAAGAAGTAGACCAAGATCGGCATGCCTACCATTGCGGCCGAGCGCGGAACAGACCGCGGGCAAGACGATAGCTCTTGCCGCGTTGTGGTGGTCACGTCCGTTCCGTGGCCCTGTGGTGTCTTGATCGTTCTTTTTCTGCCTTTGCGTGCACCTGACGTGAGTATCACTGGGCGGTATGTATCTCGTTCCCAAGGAACGCGCGTTTTGAGGGGCGTTGTTCCCATCCCATACCTTGTATTCTACCGCCAAGCTGCTCTCTGCCGTTGCTGACGGTTTGCATCGCTTGTAAGCCTCTGCTTCATTTCCTCGACCACGCCAAGCAACCGACACCGCAGCTCGAAAGAAGGTGCAGGTGCGTTCACCTTCGTCAAAACCGGTGCCGTCGATGACTTGACAAGCTCTGAAGTCACGATTCTCGTCGCTCTTATCCTGAAGGACGAGTTGGACCCACTACATCCGTTTAGCCGGCAGAAAGAGGTTTTGCCAGAAAAGGCAAGACGGGAGCAATACTCAGGAGGCATTTGTCGTGCCATCCATGCACGGTGCAGATTATTTATTCGCTCCAAAATCAGCGGTATAGATACCGCTGCACACCCCGGGATTTATGCCGCTAGTTCGCTGACTCCTGTGTAGCGGGTTCCAGCCCGTATTTAGGCAGCGGGGAGGTCTAATTTGAAGAGCGACGCGCCCTCCAGACTACAACCTACATGAACGATCTTTGCCGTATTGTTGGTTCCCTGCACCCATACTGCCGTCGGAGCGGAGGACACCAGTCCTCTGGAGCACATCGTATCATAGAACAGAGTTTCCCGGAGCGTATCCTGGTTCACAAGCCCCTTTCGCTACGCCCCATCTTCTTGACGTAGAGCATCTTGCGCCGATGTTCGCGGAGCTGCTTCAGCCTCTTGGCCTGGCTGGGGGGTACGGGGTGGCCTTCAACGAGTCTGGCATCCTTTTTGAGGTCAGGAGAATTGTGTCTTGTAATTCAAGTAGAAGTCTACACCCCGAACAGTTTTCGGACGTCCAAGATCCGTGCTTGGGTTCGGCTGGTCGGGCGTGTTAACAATGTTTAGTGGCGATTGTTGGAGTCGTCAGGCCGTGAGATTGTTTGGTGGGCATAGTTTTCAGGGAGGTACTTTATCTTGTGGTGCCAGGTACATACAACACACATGAATTGATATACGTGTCCCATTGCCCTTTTGCTTGCGTGAGGGTTCTCATATCTCGATCGCGTCATGGCCGCCTCTTTGCGCATTCCGTTCCACGCCCCTCGTTTTTGCATGCAGATCATGGCTCAGATTAAGCGGCGGTTCTTCGACCATCCTCCGTGTTGCTGCACGAGCGGTACCAGCCGCAAGGCCTCCGGAATCGTGCAGGGTGGCGAAGCAGCGCAGCCCGTGGCGAAGGTGGTGGGCGCGCTCGTTGGGTGAAAACAGGGTTTTCGCCTGATTGAGAGCGGAGTATACGATTGAGGGCGGGAGCCAAAAAAATTGAAATTTCGGGTCCAGACGCCTCTTGCCATTTCTTGGGAAGTAGGGGGCGGGCTCTTCCAAGAAGCGGCGCAAATTGAAGGTCTCATCAGCAGCGTCACGAGCATATGCGTGTCATCGCGATCGGATGCTGCAGCCAGGAGCTAGACAAGTTGCTAGATTTCCCCAGATTGGCTATTCCTGCCTCAAACTGTTTCAGGGCGATTTGATCGCGGGCGGTGAGCTCTGCTGTAGATTCTGCTCCCCGCTGTAGCTCCGCAACGAGAGACGCCCACAGGATGACCAGGGTATCGGCTTGTAGCTACGGGCTAGGCCTTCAATTCAAGTCACGCAGCAAGCTCCACCTCTCAGCGGTAGTCCAGCTACAGCGCATCGCGCAATCTCGCTCTCAATCAGAGACTTCGCTCTCAATCACACGAAAACCTTGTTTGAAGCAATACGAATGGACGCTGTGATGTCCGAACGCACCCGTGGCCGTGGCTGTTCTTCCACATGTATGTCCAATTCACCCAAGGCCCGCATGGCATCGTGATTGGTCGGTCAAAATAAATTTATCGACGAAGCTCGCTATGCCTCCGCCAACATCGATCAGAAAGAAGACCGAAAGTTGGGCTGACCCCGGACTTTCATACAAACAGCGAAGGGAACACACGTCAGCACCACCACCCCCCCCTTGTTGCTTTTTTGGCGTGCGTACACTGCTGTGAAAGTAAAGTGCGCTTAAAAATACTGTACCTTGACGCTTATTCATGGGCGTTGTATTGTACACGGCTCTTCTCGAGGTGTTTTCCGGGGCTGTCGATCAAGCCGCAAGAAATTGCATGTGAGGAGCCGCAACGAGACGGCGATAGGGCGCATGTGTTCGATTGTTCTCGACTTTGCGAGAACATGTGATGATTTGGTGTTGTGAATCGGTCCTTCTGTGTTCATGTGTAGTAAGGGCGGACCGGCATTGCCGGTGCAAATCCGGCGGAGAATGGGTCTCTGCCTACATCTGGCATGGGTGAAAGGATAAAACCTTGCGAGCTTCTTGTCTCGGCTGGTGGCAGCATGTCATGAAAGAGGGCACAATGTCGGCCTGCCCTTCCTAGACGTTGTTTCGACGCGCCCCAACTACGCGTGAGAGTTCTCTGTTGGGATTTACGTCAAGATCAACAGTCAATAGCTTTAGCCTAGATCAGGAACGCGTCCCCCCACATACCCAGCTTAAGGTGTGAGAATGTCCCGAGTGTGAGGAGCTCCAAATATAAAATATTCATGCTCATCAGCCGGTTGCCCCCCGGTGGTCTAGTGGTAAACTTCGTACACCCATATTGGCACGTG